GAGGTGCAATTTGCGACAGGATGTCTATGTCTGTAGATACCTGGCCAGTAGACACTGGATTTTGCTCTCAGTTTGCATTTCTCCATTCCAAGATGACCTTTGTGTATTTGTTGTAAGATGTCATCTCTCAATGTTGTGGGAATGAGTATTCTGCTACCTGTCAGAACTGTGCCATCCTCAATGGATATGTCGTCACGTACTGACCAGTATGGTCGTAGAACTGATTGTACTTTCTTGATGCTGTCTGGCCAACCTTGTATGATTTGTTGTATCAATAACTGAAGGGTTGGGTCTTTGCTTGTTTCTTCTCGGATCATTGATAGCTTTACTGGTGTGATGCTTACCAGGTGGTGAATCTTCACTTCCATATCTGGGATTTCAATTGTTTCCTGGGGTGACAAACGCGATAGCGCATCAGCCAGAAGCATTTGTTTTCCGGGTTTATATCTGATGTCAAATTCATATGGTTGTAAGCGTAGTAACATTCGCTGTAGTCGTGGTGGTGATTTGGTTAAGTTTTTCCTGTGAATCTGCTCAAGTGGATGGTGATCACTCTCGACACAGAAGGGTCGCCCGTATAGATAGGTGTGACACTTTTCACATCCATATACTACAGCAAGTAGTTCGCGTTCGATATTTGCGTATCAGGTTTCGGCTGGTGTCAGTGCTTTAGATGCGAAGGCGATTGGTCTGTTGTCTTGTAGTAGCACTGCTCCTATGCCATTGGATGAAGTGTCAACTTCAAGAATGACTGGTTTCTTTTGGTTATAGTAGGCGAGTGTTGTCGAAACTCTTTGTGTGTGTTGGCGTCCAAACGAATTCTGAGTTGTCTTTGATGAGTTCTCTCAGTAATGCTGTGTGGTCTGACAGCTTGGGTATGAATGGACCCATGTATGTTACAAGACCAAGAAATGTTCGCAGTTCTTTCTTGTCATTTGGGGGCTGCATCATTTCTACGGCTCTGACTTTGTCTAGACTTGGTTTAACTCCTTCAGCGGTGTATATCATACCATAGAAACTGCATTCTCTGCTTTTTATGTGACATTTATCTCTGTTTAGTTTTATGCCTGCCCGTCTGGTGTCTTCCATAGCTTCATGTAGATGTAAGTCATGGTCTGTTTCATTTGAACCATATACTTGTATGTCATCTGCTATGCCTATGGCTCCTTTGCAGTTGCGATATGCTTCATCAACTTTGAACTGGAAAACGTCTTGAATCATGCGGAGTCCAAATGGCATTCGTAGGAATCTGTACCGACCAAATGGAGTGTTGATTGTTGTTAGTACTGATGACTCTTCATCTAGTTTAACATTCCAATATCCGTTCCTAGCATCGAGTTTACTGAACAATTTTGCACCAGTCAGCTTATGTGTGATGTCTTCAAGTGTTGGTGTAGGGTGGTGTTCCCACTTGATTGCAGTGTTCAAGTCTTTGGGATCCAAGCACAGTCGTAATCTGCCATTTTCTTTCTCTCGAATGACAAGCGAGTTGACCCAATCAGTAGGTTGGTTAACTTTGGTAATTATATTTTTGTTTTTCATTTCAGTTAGTTCTGTTTTGAGTCTGTCTCTGAGGTCTATTGGTATTCGACGAGCTGCATGTACTACAGGTGGTACTTTTGGGCCTAGGATGGCAGGACCTGTTGCATCTGTCACATAGAAAATACAGTTAATTTTCCTTCCTCTGTGTTGACAAGGGATTGTTATTGTTCCCAACTGTTTGATTTGCGATCCTCCATATGCTGATAGAATCATGTTTGTTCCTTGTAATGCGTTTGGTTTGGGGTTGCCTTTACTATCTATTTTATCTGGAAAGATAATACGAAATAGACGCAATGGGACTACATTGCTCTGGGCGCCTGTGTCAACTTTGCATTTCAGGTTTATTTTCTGTGTCACTTCAGCACGTTCAATTTGCAGTATTGTATACACTTCCTCTCGGTTGTCATCTTCATGAATAGTTCCGATTGTCAGGGTTTCTTCTTCCGTCATATCTGTGTTGTACCCCACATCATGTATCTGCTGTCTATTACTGCGTTGTGTTGGTGGACGATTTTGTATTTTCTTTGATGATTTGCATACTGATTGCCAGTGGTTCATTTTTCCACACTTGTGACACTGAGATCTATACGCAGGACAATTTTTTCGTGCAGAAATATCATGCGTTTTCCCACAATTGTTACATATTTTTGTCTGTTGTTGTGGCTTGTAGCTTCGTGGCTTGCTATACTTTTTGATTGTATTCACAGATTTTTTTGGTGAGGAATAGTCCTGGTTACTTGCAAGCAATCTCATTTGTTTGTTTGTTGCCTCAAAACTGCGGGCTACATCTATCGCATCTTTGAGTGTAAGCTTCTCATATCGCCCAATCAATTTCTTTTGAACATCTGGATGACATGAACCCCATATTAGTTGATCCACTAACCTTTCTTCCATTTCTTTGTCAGATTCGAATTTGTATTTGGCTGCAACATTCTTTAATTTTGACATGAAGTTGTCCACTGTTTCTTCTGGTTCTCGTCACATGTCCTGAAACTGGTACCTATGTATGCGGTGGTTAGACTTGGGTTCAAGATGCTGCACAATTTTTTCCAAAATTTTGTCAGGCTTCTTCCTGTCATCTGCATCATCAAAATTCCAGCTGTTGTACATATCAAGGCCTTTCTCTCCTGCCCATAACAATAGATAGCTAGCCTTTTCTTCATCAGTGGCATCCTTCAGTGCACTTTTGAATGTTAATTCGCATTTTTATCGGAATCGAGCAAAAGCTATCACTATATCGGGTGCATCCCAGTCCATCTGAGTGCTGGCAATGGAGCT